GATATGCTTTTCGCATTCTATTTTAGCTTCCCGGATTACTAGTTTGCATTTTTTGTTACATTCCAATGTCGTCCCTTCCATCTTATGTTTTATAAATGCCATTCTCTTTGCCTGTAGTTTTACAGTTTTATTTAGCCATATAGGTTTAGTCTTTGATCTTTTTTTGTTTTTTTTGTTTATACACTTTGAAATAGCAATATGTAATGTGTTCCTGAAACAGTCCCACATTTGGTCTGAGTTTAGGTTGTGAAATGAGTTTTCCCATTTTATTTCCCCCACTAGTTTGCGCAGCTTATCGAAGTTGGCCCTTCTGAAATTTAGGGTTCTTGTCTGTCCCGCCCTCTTTCCTTTCCGGAATTCAATATTGAAAGTAATCGCACTGTGATCACTATTACCCAGTGTATCCCCAATTGCAATATCCTCAATTAACTCCCCATTGTTAGTAATTATTAAATCTAGGATGGCATTTTTCCTAGTTGGAACCTCCACCATCTGTTCCAAGAAATTGTCTCGCAACAAGTTCAGAAATCGGCCCGCCTTGGTCGATCCTGAGGTACCATTAGCCCAATTGATGTCCTTGTAATTGAAGTCGCCCATCACGACTAACTACATTGCCCTCCCAGCTATTTCTATTTGGGAGTGTAGATTTGCTTCCCCCTCCTCCCCTATATTCAGAGGTTTATAGCAAATACCCACAATAACTTTACGGCTAGGGTCCGCCATTTAACGTAAATGCAAACCCCCCCCCCTTCTCCCACATCTGTCCCTCCTGAACAGGTTATACCCCTCTATATTAGTAGCCCAATCATGTGTGCCGTCTAGCCAGGTTTCTGATATATCCACTGTATCGAAGTCCTCCACGAGTATCATAATTTCAAGCTCTTCTAATTTATTTGCTAGACTTCTAGCGTTGGTGTACATACATTTATTTCCTGTCTTGTTATGGGACAAAAGTTTACATACTACTTGTTCCCCACTAGTTTTATTGTTTGGCCTTGACGTAGATTGTTCGTTTCAGATTTTTTTCACTTCTGACAACGTATTTGCTACATTGACTGTTTCTACTATTTTAACCTCGGTGATTACTTTAACTGTGTTGACTGGAGTGAGCCCACTCTCTATTCCTCTATTACTTCTTTTTTTAATTCATCTCCATTTGATTTAAGTAATTTTATTTTTATGCCCACCCCCCCATTTCCTAGTTTAA